ACTTGCCAACACATTCCTAGCCTTAACAACTCATCACTAGCTTACTTTCTATATGTAGCAGCTGCTGGAGCATTTGTTTATGTATAAATATGTGTATTTAAGGCTGAAATTTGAGATTTATTTAATAAAAACTAGGGTGTTACAGAAACCTATATTAATATACCCTCCATGGTGAACCCACATAAATCAAATGATGAGAAAGTCTAGGAGTAACAAACAAGAACATGCATGTCATAAGGGAAACCCAAGCAAAAGGCTCCTCCTCTTTGCAAGAGTTGAGTAGGGAAGTCTTTGTACGTGGTCCTTGCATTTTCCAAAGAGGATGTTGTGACTCAAGCTCAACCCCATGATACTGTCACAAAGTGGGGAAGTATGTGTTGAGAAGACACGTGGGAAAGCATAAGAAGTTATAACAGACTATTATCCAAGCATATTAAGGCAACATATAAAAAGAGAGTTGCTGGGAATACAATCATTTAAAACTGATTTGATATACAAGGAACTCTGAAATTGACGATAAAAAGAGTTCACAAAAAGCCTCTCCGTCTCTATAATAGGAACTTACCGCGAGAGCATCTGAAACTTGTTCCAGATGATTTGTCAAGTTTGAAACCGCATTTGCCATGTTATGCTTTGTCACATACATGAGGTCTGAAAATGAAAGACCCTAAAAGACAATTTGAGACAGAGTCAATCTTCAAAAGTTCATGTTGACAAAAGATTTCACAAACAAATTGAAACCATTTGTGTGTGTGAGTTGGTGCAAGAGAACAGGGGCATCTGAGATTATCAAATATGCAAGACCAAGCGTACAACAATTCAAAGTAATGAATTGTGTTGATATGCAAAACTTTGAAGGAGCAGCAGCAAGTCAAAACTAATCACACCTTCCACCACATGTATCCATACCCCACAGCCCCCAATGCAGCAGCTGGTACCAGCAGAGATGTTACATTACCTGTATCAATGTAAGATTGAGATTACAGAAACAGAAATAAGAAATTGAACCAAAAAGCATCTGACAATTGCCTCAAAATGATCCATCAAAGTTTATGTTAGACATGAGCAGAGTCTACATCAAGAAAGGGATGGCATGATGATGATACGAAATATGAATCATGAAGCAAGCCACTTAAATGTGTTAGAAAAAGGCATGCAGAAGTACAGAAAACCTACCACCAGAACCTCCATTTAAAACAGTGATCTGACGTGCAGAAGCCAGTTGCCGAACTTCCATTGCTAACCGACGAACCTGTTTTTTGTTAGCATGAAAGTCAATTGCCATATGATAGAAAAGTTGAGATCAAATATAACTTCAATAAAGGAAAAACAATAATGATAACGGCACCAGCAGCAGAAGATCGCCAATTTCACCTGTTAACTCTAATCTACACTTCATTTTGTGGATGGCAGGCAGCAAAATTAGGGGAAATGGACTGAAATAGACAATCCCATCAACCAAATTCACTATTTAGCCACTTGTTAGAGCCCCTTCCCAAAATAGCCGATCTTTAGGCAGATGCTTTACACATTTGCATAAAGACTAATTTCTGTGGGAAAAAAGAAAAAAAAATCCTTACACATATGTGTAAGGATTCTTACACAAAAAATTGAATCCTTACGCAAAAATCTGAACCTTTACAGAAAGAAAAATCTTTTTTTATCTTAAAATCGAGTTTACGCAAATGCGTAAGATGTCTAGGTAAACTCTGACTAGAATGGGAATTCAATTGAAAAAGTGGCTAAAAATTGATTCGGAAAATTGGCTATTTTGGTCAATTTCCCCAAAATTAGGAATCGCACTTGTCTGAGTTTGATTCAGAGGTCAAGTGAGAAGAACAGGATGAAAACAAAAATACTACAGCACCCACCGCAACATAAAATCATAGGGGAGAAATCACCACCATGACACTGCATTCTATGTTGTCCTGCTTGAATCGTCAAAAAATTTCAGTACAAGGAGACCAGAAGCACACTACCCTTGAGACAGTTTCTTAACAGTGCATCAGTAGCCAACTAACTAATTTTTGGGGGAAGAATTTTTTATATTGAACTATATTTTTGGCTGCTTTTGGAAAGAAATGAGCTGACACACTTGTAATCACAAGCAAAACCAAAACAGAAATTGCATTTAATCCAGACATCCTTGAGTATATAGATACAACAACGCAACATCCAGAAGTTATCAGTATCTGCAACCTCAAATGATACAGCGTCTGATGAAATCAAACTACATTGAACCAAACAGTAACAACTTAAAGGAGAAAACCTTGTTCTGGCTACCGTAGCAAGTTTGTTATTTCCAAATTAGCCAAACAACATAGCTCATACATATGGGTTAATAGGGAATCATGTGGCTTTTATGTCTCCTAGATGAAAGTACGTCCTTGTTAGCTAGTTGTGCTTTTGCTATAGCAAATAAGCTGGATAGCCTGTTTATGTCAGGTTGCCTCCCTCAAGGCATCAAACAAAAGTAATAGCAGAATAAGTAATGTGCATTTGTTTAATATATCTTCATAGTTCTAAATAATTTAAACTTTCAGGAGATACAATTAGAGTTAGGGTTTAATCATTAATGATTTATAATATCCTCTATTCAAGCCAGTGGACCCACTATGCTCAAGAGGTTAGGCAAGGGTTCTACAAGCTACTGTTGTGAAATCACTAACTACACCACTCAAGAGTATGATTCAAGACAAAGCACAGTGTCCTATGCAGCAGTCAGGAATTTCATCTTCCGCAGCTGCCTGGACATCAGTTGACACACTGTATGCATTACTTATTTGCTTTCTATGTGAAGTCTATTATGTTCCATTGTCTTGCCTCCGGCATACAGTTTGATTTTGCTTTGAGATACTCACTCCACTTTATTGTTGTTACCAGAGTTTTACTGTTACCGACTTACCGTCAGCATCATGTGTCAGTCTACAATCTCTCGAGCCTTGAATGATTATGTAATGTGTTCCCCTTGTGGGGGAACCCAGTGAAGCCTTCTCTTAGCCTGCAGTCTGTTGTGATTAGCTCAGTTGTTCCATCCACTCGCATGCTTTAATCGCCTTACCTACCCAGAGAATCAAAGCCATTGTGGCTCTTCCAAGCAACATCAAGACATGTACTGCTACTCCAGATGGTTTTAAAGAATGTTCTTTGTATGTATTATTGAATAGGACCTTTATATGGAGTTGATATATCAAAAGTTGTTCAAGTTTCACATGGAGGGTTCTTCTAAGAAAAAGAATAGGATAATCCGTTAGATCATCCACCCAACCTGTCATCAATTTCTTTCCTTTTTTGCTTTTGTCTATACTTAAACAACCATACCTATATGGCAACAATGCATAATCAAAACATAAACAACTGGCTTGATCCAGTTTAGCATCAAGGTGGTTCTGTTTACGCTCTAAATCAAGAGTGTATGAAAGTGACTTGTCGAAACGTTTCTTTCTTGCTGTTGTTAAAATAATTGCCTGCCTTTCTGTCAATTTTTCTGTTTTGAAAAATACCATCCAACAAACAAAGCAGTACCTGGCCAGCAATGGCATCAGAATAATCACCTTCAGCTCCATCTCCCTGCTTTCCCTCATATCCTTTCACCAAACCCTGCTCAGTTAAACTCCATCAACATTAAAAAACCTAAGCAACTAAATAATTAAAATCTCACAGCATCAAATGCATATTACTTCTTAGTGAGAGGGAAAGGGGAGAATTGATGGCATCTTTTACCTGAAGTTCGCCCAATACATCAGAAAGCTTGCCATTGTTAAGCAGCAATGTACCAGTGTATCCTGCAAACAAAATACGTCCATTCAGTGTATCTCTTACACACACCTCAATATACACACGCACATGTTTTTTGAACGGCAAGGAAGCTCAGACACATACGTCTCTCGAACAAAAGGCCAAATATCGTAGACTCGATTGGTACCGTTGGGTAAAAGTCACATGGTATACGCTCACATATTAGGGAACGAAAGGTGCAAGATATGATCGAAATAATCAACACATATACAGATGAAAATCATAGGTAATTATGAACCAGATGGAGTGTGTATGATTGTGCAAAAAAAAACCTGCTCCTACTAAGATGATGATCTTAGAAAAGCCCATTCCAGCTTGCATCGCCATGGCTGCGGTTCAGAACTGCTGAAGTACACCAACGACTACTGTAACTCCGTGCCCAAAGGACGCCGTTCGAACTGCGAAGATTGTGGCGGTGGCCCCACCGATATGCACTTCCCGGAACCAAGCCCGACGCCGGTTAAACAAGCACCTAATGTGGGCCGGTCCGGCCCAGAGAAATCCTATTAGTCCATGATTTTAAATGGAAGATGCTGTTAGGATCGGTCCAAATCAATAACTACAATTTATTAAAGTTTTATGTTTTGAATTTATATAATTAATTTTAAATAAATATAATTGATATGATAAATATTTTATTTTAAATATAAAAAATTTAAAATATAATTAAAATAATTATTAAAAATACTTAATTATTATTTTTATAAAAAAATATATTATTAAACAAAAAATAAAAAAAAATGAATTAAATAAATACACAATAAAAATTTAAATAGTTAGTTTGGTACTAATATCAATATTTTTTTAATTTTTTATGATATCTTTATATTTATATTATATTTAAAAATAAAAACATTATCGTTTTCTCAAAACCATACAAACTCGTATTATAACATCGACTGAGACAAAAAAAACACAAAACATATGTATATCGTTGCATTGTGCGAGTACCCTTCTAGTATATATATATATATATATATATATACACACAGAGTATATTATAAAGCATTTGACAAAAACTCTTAAAAACCATCTTTTAAACATGAAGTACTATTTATTGATGCATATTACTTAAAATTCAAGATTACAAGTAAATTATACGTAAGTACAACTTAATAAAGCTTCATATTTTAATTTGTGTAACTAACTACAAATAACCATAATCAAATAGATGATAAATATCTCATTTTAAATATAAAAAAATCGAAAATATAATTGGGATAATCATTGAGTTCTAACAAACTACTTAATTATTATCTTTATAAAAAATTATATTATTACTTCGTTACTAAATCTAAATTAAATTACAATAAAAAAGATTGAATTAAATAAGTTACACAAAAACATCTACCGAAACGGAATAAAACAAAACACTAAAATTGAGATATATCTCATTGCATTGCACGAATACCCTTCTAGTATATATAAAATGATGATGTGATGCATTGTTAGAGTATGATTCTTTTAAATTATTTTTCTCATTATCTTGAGTTTTCTAAAATATCAAATAAGTTAAAGACTTTTTTACCCTTAAATAAAAAATGTGTATGTCTCACTATAAGAAGGATCATTTGGTAATTTTCCTTTCGATTTAATAAAGTTTAATCTCCAAACTATCCAACTTTCTATATACATTCATTTTACTCCATTTATCTCTTTAATTAATATCTCAAAAAGTAAGTAGGGTAGCAATAGGTATGGAAATTTTCTTTGACTCCAAAATGATAGCATAAAATTTGAACTTAGATATCTCATAGGTTTTTTTTACTTTATCCAACTAACAAAGGTTGATATATTATCTCATATACTGATGAAATTGATAGCATTTCTCGTGTACGTTTCATCATTTGGTGGACATGAATTTATAATAAAAAAATATCTTACAATACATTGTTTTTTATATATGGAATTATTTTTTCTCTTCAATTAAGTACATTTATATGGTTGTTAATTGTAATTTCTATGTATAACCTATTTTAAAATCTGTTAATTATTAATTAAGCTGCAAAACAAGCATTTTAAGCTGAAATGCAAAATTGTAGAGACTAATCTTATGCACACTCATTATAACAATTAATATTGCACATATGCTTGCAACTAATCATTTTTATACAAGTTTTAACTTTAATGTCAAAACATTATATTGCGACAAAAAAAATGTATGAAATTCTATTCGTTACAAGAAACAATATTAATGAAAATATGTAATTTACATCTCAATAACCCCAATAAATTTATTGTCTTTTATTACATCTAATTAGTTGTCAATTAAATTAAACACTATTATTTACTTACTGGGTAAGATTTTAGTCCATCAAAACGACATCGCATATAATAATTTACCCGGTAAGTGTTTACTGTGGTAAGAGTCGGCGCTCTCACTTACTGGATAAGACTTCTGGTCTTTGTCTCGCTCTTTTCAAGTAAGATTTTTGGTCCTTATCATATTCATCCTATGAGGTAACGTGATTTGATAAGCATTTACTAGAATAAGCATTTTGGTAAATGACCCCTAAAGAGAAAATATCGGTATCAATAAATGGTTAGACTATTTTTTTACAAAATAAAGAGAATGAGTGAAAAATAGCATATGCGGAAAGACCAAAAAGAGATCATGGGAAAACTCCTCCGAAGCCATACACTTGACAATGTGGTCTCTCATCTTTTCCCACAGCCCATCATTCCTCTTCCCCAATTCCACCGCCACCGCCACAGGCCGTTCATTCGCCACCGCACCCCTATCCTTCTCTGTTTCCCCTTCTCGAAACCCCAGAAGAATCAAATCTACAATCGTTCGCTTATCCTCCAACAAACCCCCAATCACCCCCGGAGGGAGCGACGAAGACGGGTCGGAACCACCCACCGTGACAGACGAATGGGGCGAGAAATCCGGCCTGGAACCCGAACCATTGACGAAATTATCGTCCTCGGATCCTCCCAAAGACGAGGACGAGTGGGGAACAGATGATTCGGAGCAATCTAAGACGTATTCTGTAACCGGTAACGGTAGTGCGGTGGCTGAATCTGCTGGGGTTGAGGATAATAGTAAGATTGAAGCGCTGAAAAGGTGTTTGGTGGATAGTGTTTATGGGACTGGACTAGGGTTTAGCGCTTCGGCGGAGGAACGGGCGGAGGTTATAGAGTTGGTGACTCAGTTAGAAGGAGCTAATCCGACGTCGGCACCTACAGATGCCGTGGAGCTTCTTGATGGCAAATGGATTTTGTTGTAAGCACTCTCATCATCCCTCTTTTGGTATATAAATTGGTATTAATTTTCTTCAAACTAATAATCATCCGAACCATGACGAATTCGGGTTATTCGATTGTGTTCGATTAATCGATTAATTATAACTTATCCGGTTAAGTTTTCGATTACTTTGAACTATTTAGGTTAAATCGAGAACTACTTTCAGTTATTGAATCCTTATGAAAACATGGCATTTATTTACCTACAAGGAAATTGTTGCATTTATTTTGGGATGGAAGGAGTGGTGATTACATTAAGCCTTATGAAATTATAGATGTAAATATTGCTTAACATGTTGAAAACAGACACAAGGTTTATTTCATTTGGGATAAAATCAAAGCCGAAAGGCTTTAATTTATAGGATTTAATTCCGTTTGTGAGCCAATCATTGTGTATGGACCCATCAGGTACACCGCATTTTCCGAGCTATTACCACTTTTGGCAGTTGGCACGATACCGTTATTGAAGGTGGAAAAGATTTGTCAAGATGTTAATACCAGCAGCCTTACAATAGACAACTCCATCACATTTTCTACCCCTTTTGCTACTTTCACGTCCACCGCATTGGCAAATTTCGAAGTGCGAAGCCCGTCAAGAATCCAGGTACTGTTTTTCTTGCCGGATAACATTCTAGTACAAAATAGAGCGGAGGAAAATGATATAAATGAGTGGAACCTAATTTACAGGTAGAGTTTAAAGAGGGGAGCTTTCAGCCTCCAAAGATAAAATCGAATGTAGATCTTCCCGAAAATTTGGATATTTTTGGCCAGAATATAAATTTGTCAGCGGTCCAGCAGTCACTCAACCCATTGCAAGAGGCGGTGGCCAATATTGCAGGTGTAATTTCAGGGCAAGCTCCTCTTAAGATTCCCATTCCCGGGGAACGGTCAAAATCTTGGCTTCTTATCACATATCTCGATAAAGATCTGCGCATATCCCGAGGGGATGGCGGGCTCTTTGTTCTTGCCAAGGAAGGTAGTCCTCTTTTGGACCCATAGACCAGGTACTGCTTTCAGTTTCCGTATGCCTGATGACAGTTGCAGGATTTCCATTCGGGTGACTTTTTGATATAGAATTTCTTGCTTGCCTAGTTGTTGATACCGGAACGATTAGCTTTTTTTCCCCCATGTCTGAAAGAAAGTTAGTCGTTCTTTTTCTGGTAACTTTTTGATATAAAATGACTTGTTTGTCCTTGACATCACTAAAGGTGCGTTTGGTATGCAGACTACATGGGACGGGACGGGACAAAAAAAATAGTCCCATGTTTGGCATGCCATGGACAAAAATTACATGGGACAAGATGGGACTATTTTTAAATTTGATGGGACAAAAGTTGTTAATTTTATTTAGGTGGAACAAGATGGGACTAAATGCAAATTTACTATCTTACCCTTAAAATCCAATAGAAAACCTAAACCCTCTTTTGCATCGTCTCTTTCACACCCCGTTCCAGTTCCACGACGAGAGCTCTTCCACACCGCCTCCTTCCACCGCCTCCTTCTACTTTTTGATTTTTTTGTGACTTTGATTTCTTTATTTTTTTGTGACTTTGATTTCTCTGATTCTCTTCTGGTATGCTCCATCTTCTACTTTTTGATTTTTTTTTATTTCACTGTTTGATGGTTCCCTTGCCATCAAAAGAAATCTTGATGAAAAGAAAAGCATCACAAGAACAATGTTGGATTTATATTTAATGTATTAAACTTGATTACAAAAACTATGTAATTAAAATATATTTTGGTTGATTTGTCGTCATTTTACAATCATTATATGATATAAAATAACATTGAACAACATTTAAGGGTAATATGGTCATTTTAATAGTTTTGTCTTGTCCTGTCCTAGTTGTACCAAACATGGGACAGACAATTAGTCCTGTCCCGTCCTGTCCCGTCCCGTCCAGTCTGCGTACCAAACACTACCTAAGAACGATGGTATTTGATTCAGATTCATAAGATTCCAAAAAGGTCATTCGAATACTTAAAAATCAAACGAACCCAATATATTTCACTCCAAAAGTAGGGTCTGAGGTGAGATGTACATGGTGGTGAAATCCTGCAAATATTCAGTTCGGTTATGGTCGTGTTTTAATGTTGTACGCATGCCTCACAATGTTGTTGGCCATGAACAGATCCAAGGCATGATGAACACGTAAAGGGAATCCCGAGGTGTTTTAAGCCTGCCAGTGGATGGACATAAGAACAGGTATATGTAGATCGGATTTAAAATTTTGTAATAGATTTTTTGAAAAAGTCTATTTGTGCAAATTCTGTGTCATACCGTATCATCAGTCCATAGATGACTCGATCCTATAAGCTTTGATTTAAATAAAATGTCGAGCTAAATGCAAAACGATGTTCATCTCTCATTTCGTTTGGTTTTTGTCACCTGAGACGAGGAAGGGCGTAGTAAGTGACGAAATGCTTCGAGGAGCTGAAGATAAGCACAGATCCGGAGATCCCGAATAGGTTAACCTTTCAAACTGCTGATGAATCCACGGGCCATTTATTTTTCTCGTTGTTGGGCATATGTATAGAACTAATTTTGGGATTGGACACAATATGAAAGATCTTTTAGATGCACATATCCCTCCGAGAGGGCGATTGGGACGTGGGTATAAGGGCCTTTATGATGCAATTAATAATTTGATTCATTTTCAAAGCAGGGGGGTTACACCGTCAAATTTAACCTAAAATTCAACCAATTACAAGAATCCATATCTGGGTAAATATACTGTTACTAAAGTTGCTTCTTTGGACAAGCAAAATGGATCGACTGAGAAGCAGGTGAGCATGGGCAGGGCACCCATCATTAACGAAAAAGTCAAACAAGTTGACCAGAAGCTTCAGGTCTACGAGAAAGCCAAATCTGCATTTGCAGCTGCAGAGCAAACAGTAACTGATGCCGGATCTACCATTATGAAGAGTACACATGTATTTACCGTATGCTACTCGGGTAACTGGAGTTTTCAACAAAGTACCGAAAACAGCCTCGGAAGTTGGGCAACAAACGAAGGAGAAAGTGGGTCAGGCGGAAGATGAAAAACAGAAGATGGTGTACGACTTTGCACAAGTTCATTTATCCGAGTCTCCCAAAGCAGCTTCGGTTCCAACCGAGCAGCAGTGGCTGCCTTCCAAGTCTTCACAAATAACTCGTACTGGTGCAGGCTTAGAATAAGTATGGTAAACCTTGTAGTGGTGCAGACGTAAAAAAAGGATACCCCAATACAACGTTTAATATAAAATTTTACACTGCAAATCAAATATAAAATTTTAGACTGTCAATGTGAAAACTAGGTGAAGTAATTGGCAATTTGATATGGATGGCAATAACTTTTGAGCATTTGACGATTCTACTCGGAGGTCATCGGTTTTATTGGGAATTTTCTTAGGGTGCGTTTGGTTTGCGGGATTGGAATGGAATTGGGGGGATTTGGATTTGAAATCCATTCCAATCCAGTGTTTGGTTTGCTGGATTGTGAGAAATTGAAATCCGTCGCTTCCTTTGAAATCCCATGAACAATGGATTTAAGAATCCTTCCCATATACATAGGATTTTAGAATCCATTCCTTTTTGCCCTAACCTACCCGTCTCCATCTTCTCCTCCATCGCATCGCTCACCTYCGTCGCTCTCTCCCGGTCGTCTCCGTCGCCGTCGCTTCCCCCCCCGGTCGTCGCTGTCGCTTCCCCCCGGTCGTCTCCGTCGCCGTCGCTTCCCCCCGAGGTCGTCTCCGTCGCCGTCGCATCCCCCCGAGGTCGTCGCCGTCGCATCGCCCCGAGGTCGTCGCCGTCGCCGTCGCATCACCCTGAGGTCGTCGCCGTCGCTTTCCCTCGAGGTCGTCTCCATCACCGTGGCTTTCTCCCACCGTCGTCTCCGTCGCCGTCGCTGACCATCTCCTCCAGCCTCCATTTTCATCCTCCATTCGCATCCTCCAGGTAATTTCTACTTAACAATACGATTAATGCTCCGATTTGTACTTCGATTTCTGCATATTATACTTCAATTTCTGCATATTTTGTGACGATTTGTACTTCATATGCTGTTCCGATTAATGTTCCGATTTGTACTTCATATGCTGTTAAAAAAAATTCAAATCCTGCAAACCAAACACAGGAATGGATTTTAAATCCAATCCAATCCAAATCCCATAGAATCCAAATCCCTCCTGGGAATCCAAATCCCTCAGAAACATTCCCGCAAACCAAACGCACCCTTAGTTGTTCTTGGCCCCTACGAGTAGTTGAGTCACATGTAAACCGGTCTGGTTCGAACAACCATAATGGATTTGTAAGTTATAAAATTTCGAAACCGGTTTTTGGTCATCATTGATCTTCAAAAGAAATCTGCAAACAAGGCCCAATATAAAGGAAGCCCATATTTTTAAACATTCAAAAGAAATTCTTTATTTAGAGTGGAGATGATTTGATAAATATATATTATTTTTATAAATTAATTTTTAATAACAAGTTAATTGTTTCTCAAAATGTTACTGTATGAGTCGTAAAAAGTAAAAGAAAATCAAAATCTTGGTATAAGGAAGACGCATGACAACAATCGAAGTTTTTCTTTTTTGAAGTATATAATATTTATATATAATAAATGGAACAAAGAAACTTACACATATTCCTCATTTTTTGTAAGGTTTGAAAACTCTTGATCTCCTAAGAGATCAAAAACTCAACATGCCGTTAGGCCAAATACCATTTGGTAAAGTTCTTACTTGTATGTTGTAAATGAGAGAGAATATTTTTACTCGGTTAGTGTATATTGGGTAAGAGATGTTTATAAATAATCCATTTGATGGTCGAGAATGTCACCCAATAAGATAAAAATGATAACTCTTGACAGTAAGCACTTACTCAATAATAATTTAAGTAAGCGGAAATGAAAGATAATAATTACAAAATAAAATTTCCAAGTATGACATTCCTTCAAGTTTTGCCTCTGATGTATAGCTCAATTGGTAAAGGAGTAGGGTGACTTTGCTCAAATACAATATATGTCTTCGGTTCGATCTCAATCCCCTGTGATTAGCCCCAGTCGTTGAGTGAGCCAAAAAATACCTCTTCACATTGGTGTTTTTGGAGACAGGTTTCATGTGAGGTTAATTGGGCTACTGGTAATCAACTTTTTGTTCAAATCTCTATACTTTAAAAAAAATTTGAGGGGAGCTTTTGTCAAAAGATATAATTCTTAAGGGTATTTAATGTTAATTAGCAAAAATGGGAAACCTAATGGGCCCTTTTGTAAAAAGGTATTTTGATGGGAAGGGCAAAATGGGAATATAAAAACGAGAGGGGAAGAGGGCTTTAAACTCAGCGGCATAAATACTTGCTTCTCTATCTTCCTGTCTAGTAATTAATTAGTAAACATGCACCGCCAATCACTCGGATCACCGGCTTCAAAGCTTCATAACCATGGGGTTCTCTTCTCAATCGCCGGCGCCGGAGTTATCAAGGACGACATTAACAATTGTTTCACCTTAGAGGACCAGCGGAAGGACAAAATAGCATCATGTTCGGCCGGCACAGCCGACGACGAACACAAATCACAGAAGCCTTATCAACAGAAATCAACATTAGTATCTTCTTCGAGACTAGTTCATCTTATTCCACTCCTCACATTCTTATGCTTCCTAGTCCTCTACCTATCCTCTCACGATCCTTCCAGGAGAGGTAATTCTTCATAATATACTGATTCAAGTCATTTTCAAATTAAAATTCATTCTAAATTCGTGTTTTTTCCGTATACCGTCGATTTTGTCCCCCAGATTTAGCTCCATTCAGTGGATTCACAACGCTTTCGTCGAGGAAGTCCACCATAGGTACAATACAAAATTGCACAACGCTAAATGTTGTTTGATTTACATTAATTATAGATTTGAACTATTTTTAATCAGGAAATTTCCTTCGAAAGTTAATTTAGTCAGTTGTTGCTGCTCTGTAATAACTCGTAGATTCAACTGATATTGATAATATCGGAGGAGGATCTCTGGAGATCCAGAAGAACGATGTTCTGGCAATTCGAAGCATGAGGAACTTGCAGCAACAAGAACGCCATCGTCTCCATCGGAAATTCGGACATTAAAGTCTAACCTACTTCTCCGTCTCTTTCTCCATCGTTCGGGAGCTTCGCACGTGCGTAAATGCAGAAAATCTATTTGTTTCTACCGCGTGTGTATGGTTATCGTATAGTATATACATGCCATTCTGTTTTGTGCATGTGAATTTGGCATTTTCTGTAAGCACAAACTTACCGCGTGTGACTCTCCTTGGGAAAAAGAATTTATGGATCGATTTTTTATTCCAAAAAAGTTGTCCGTACTCGAAGTGTGATGAATGCAAAGTGTTGAGCTAAAATGCGCATGTACATGTGACTGGTTCACAGGCGTACTTTGAGAACCAGGAACGCTCCTTCTGCAGGTTCGCAAGTGTCAAGGTTGTGCTAGAATGCGCATTGTTATTGAGGCGTAACATAGAATAGATGCGCTTTTCCCTCGAGAAAGAGAAAAGGTAAATAAATGGAGTACAGCTGGAAAAATGGAAGTATAGGACCGTTGCTGTACTCGGGGTTCGCAGTTGAAGTTGTTGACAGCTAGCGGGAGGGGCATTTTGGTAATCTGATGGATGATCATCACTGACGCAAATGCCATTTCTTCTTATTTTATGGTACATCTGGACCCTTCTTCTGCTACTGCACAGTGTATCAGATCACCATTTTTCCTTCTCTGTTTCATGTTTTATTTGATTTCCATTGCTACACCTTTTTCTAGCACTTCATTTTATTTTTCCTTCTTAAGAACATGATCACTAGCTTTGGGTCATTTCCAACCTGTTTCATCTTTTCCATGAAAAAACAATTCAACGTTTGAATGGATTCAATGTTGGAATACTATCAACATCAATTGGTTGCAGGTTTCAAATTTTTGTTGTTTTTTAATCAGCATAAACTGTTGGACAATAATAATTGGTTGGTTCTATAAGATAAGATGATGAAACCCATATCAATAATTTACAAAATAAAATTTATATCTTCAATAACTTTGGACTAAAATAATTGCTTTCACTTTCATATTTACATATTTTCCTATATATTTTTCATACACGTGTCACGTATGTATATATATACACACATATGTATATAGGATTAGATTCACGTGAGACCAGCCTGTTTTCGTTAGACCCGTAAGACCATTTTTTTACATTTGAAATTTTATAACAAAACGCTGTGAAGATAAAAA